CCCCAAAACCCCAAAACCCCAAAAGCTAATTAAATAAGGGATTAGCAGAGTTTAAAAGGATATCAAAATAAATTAAAAAATCTGCAGGAATGATAATTTAGATTGCTCTGATTCTCTTGACTTTATACTTTATTTACGATAGAGTTTTTCTTGTTTACTATAACTATTGGTACTATCAAAAATAAGGATTTAAGCCAACTGGGCTACCTTGGCCGTTCTTAGGAGATATACTTACTTTTCTTAAAGTTCTTAAGAAGCAAGATGAATATTGGGAAGATACTCACTATGAATATCTGAGACACGTATTTAATGATGATATCCCTCAATATGTTATTGATTTCAGATTTCCAAAAGGAATACTTGTAATAACGGATCCTGACTTTGTATTTGAATCCTATACTACAAAGAATAAATACTTTGAAAAAATCCCCAGATCCTATAACATGAGTAAAAAGATTTTGGGAGAATCAGTCTTATTTGCTCCAGCTGATGAAATATATACACTCAAAAGAAAGCATCTGTCTTCAGCATTTTACAAGGATAAAATGCAATCATAGTTAAATCAAATCATGAGTACAACCTTTGACATGGTTCAAGAAACTATCCAACAGATTAATCAGGGAGAAGTTGAACTTGACTTGAATCAATATATTGGAAAGCTTATCCTCAAGTCTATTTAGATTTGTATCTTTGGACTTAATGAGTAGCTTGAACTGCTCCCATTCAAGTAGAATGGAAAAATTGATCATCTGAGTTAAGGGGTTTTCATGAACAGGCTTTCTGCTGGACTATTAGAAAGATCTAATAACATCTTCAGGATTAACTTTGAATTCCTTGACAGCTATTTTGTTGGGAGAGTTGAGAAGGAATTGGAAGAGAATACCATGACTTTGAGAAGATTCATATCTGATATGATAAATTTGAGAAGAGAAAAAAATAAGGCTCTAAAGCCTGAAGAAATTCACCACGACTTTTTAAACTTGCTCTTACAAGATGATCTTTTTAAAGATAATGAAAGCTTAATGGTCGATGAGTGCTGTACATTCATGTTAGCAGCAACTTAGACCACCTCAACAGCACTTTCAAATCTTCTCTTTTACCTTACAAAACATGATGTGATTAGAGCTAATCTCAGAAATGAGATAAAAGAAGTTTTTGGCAAGGAGCCAACGATAAGTTAGATATCAAAAGAAGAATGGCTGGAAAAGCTAAGTCTAGATAAAATTTCAAGCTAATGGAACTATCTTAACCTGGCTGCCTAGGAAAATCTGAGAATTGAACCTCCAATTAGAAGAAGCTCACCTATGATTATAACTGAGGATATTGAGATTCTTGGTAAGAAAATACTTAAAGGAACACCAGTAATATTTCACTTCTTAGGGTTGTAGAGAAATGCAAATGAATGGCCTGAGCCTCTCTAATTTATTCCTGAAAGGTTTGATCCTTCGTCAAAGCATTTCTTGACTGCAGAGGGCAAAAAGAGAAAGCCCGCAAGTTTCTGCCCATTCCTCGGAGGTAGAAGGATATGCATAGGTAAAACATTTGCTGAGAATATTGTCAAGTGTGTAACTCCTTTGATTATTTCCAGACTTGATTTTGAGATTCTTAAGCCAGAACACAAATT